GGGGCTGATCCACTAACACATGCATCTTGAGGAAAAATAGGAGTTTCATATTTCTTTTTGTCCCTTTTACTACAACCATCCATGAATTTGCTAAGATTTTCATGCTTACGGAACTCAAAAAGCTTGCCTTGGTCGGAAAATCATTACATAACACTCATCATGTGTAATATTAGACCTATGGGGAGATTTATCTATTTTTATCTCAAATGAAGATGCATAAGAAAGAGGGTCAAAGTTGACATCTTGGATCTTCTTGATAGCTCTCCATTGATCCACCTTCGAAGCATGCTAGGGCACACTCCAGATCGGTAGCAGTTTGGGCCTTCGCCCTCTCCTCCATATCTTGTCAATCTCCTCGGGAAGTTGATCAACCAAAGGCTTGATGATGTTCTTGGGATTGCTCAGATTGGTCTTGTTGTCAAACATCTTCGTAGTAGCTTATTTCCCAGTGAAGTCACAAAAAAGTGTGTAGATCCTTTTTTCTGGTCACACACCTTGAGAGTGATCACTAATGCCACGAAACGCAGCGGCTTCCAGAGAGCCTCTTGAACCCGGGCTAGCATGTTTTGGCAGGGACGCCGTGGAGATCCACGGACGCCTCCCGAGAAGACCCATCGGGGAGGTGCACTTGGGGTTGATCTAGGTTCAGCAAGGCCACCTAGATCACACAAGATTCTTGTCGAGAAAACTGCGAAAGAACAAGATATTGGGTTGGAAAAGTATGGTTTGAGGGATAAAGAAAAACAGTATATAGGTTTTGTTTTTTGTCGATTGGATACCTCAATAGGTTGTGGACCTCTCAAAAATATAAAGATGGTTGGTCTTCGTAATGAAAATAGACCCCATGGGCCATTTAGTTTGGATTTTGATGTTTGATGATCAACATGACCAATTAGACTAATATTGTTTGCTAGTATATTTGTTGTAGTTCAACAGGATGCAAAGTGGACTTGGACTCAAGCAAAGTGGTGATCCAGATGATCAATACCTGAAGCAAGACATTAGAAGCCTTGATGAACATCCACAAGGCAAGCAAGGAGTCCAAGACACAAAATGGAAGAAGCTCGGACGAAGACACGTGAAGAACACAGAGCTAGTCCATGCTGCACAGCAGCGCCGGACCTATCCGGTGTGCTCAAGGAGGAGCACCAAACACCACTATGTGCACCGGGCAGAAGTTGCAGTGTCCTACTGGACATGTCCGGTGTCACACCGGACTCCTCACCGATACGGTTCCAGAGAGGAAGCAAAGTGAGTTAGAGACGGTTGCAACGCACCGGACATGTTCGGTATTGCACCGAGACGTCACACCGAACGCCCAGGTCTCTAACGTCGGCAACGGCTAGCTAATGTGGCTTCATTGGACGTGTCTAGTGGGTGCACCAGACATGTTTGGTGCATACGCAGAGCTGTTGTGCAGCCTCCAACGGCTAGTTTTCAATGGTGGGCTATATATACCACCACAATCAGCCATTTGAGAAGTGTGGGAATTGGGAAACATACCAAGGGAGTTGAGACCCCACTCTAGTGCTCTCCACATGCATAGTGCTTAGTGAATCACATGGTGATTAGTCTAGGTGCTTTGCGAAGTGCATAGGCTAGTTAGACCACCGCTTATGTGCTTGCTCTAGGTTTAGGCCTAATGTTTAATGAGGTTTGCATACCTCTTACTCATAAGGTGCTTGAGTGCATCATTGTTGTACTCAGAGGGGCTTGTAGTCTTGCGAGACCACACCAACCGCGTTGTTTGTAGTGTGTGGCCGCCACCGTGTACAAGAGGGAATGGGGCCCGTAGCGGTTTGACCAGAAAGCTCGATAGTGAAGACGGTGGGGAGCGGTCTAGGAGAGGCCATCTCGAAGACCCACTTGCATATGGCGAAGGCACGAGGGCTATCTACAGAGTTACCCAACCGAGAGCTTGGCCCTTGCGAGGCCATCATTGCGAGGGACTCCAATGAGGACTAGGGGGAAGCGAGGAGCTTCTCGATACATCGGCAAAAATACCAGAGTCGTCGTCGACGGGAGTTTGCAATCTCTACCCCTCTTTAGCTTCCACATTTATATTGTGTATCTTGGTTGTGTGCTTACTTTCCTAGCTTAGTTTTATAGGCTAGTTGGTGGGATTTAAAACCTAGGTTGCATAACTTTTTTGCGGTAGAGATAGCAACACACCTAGTAAAAACCGTGGTTGCACATCTAGATAGTTTATTTATTGTTTAGGTTTTGAGTAGGTGTAAATTAGAGGCCATAGTTAGAAGTAGTTTTTAAGTTGCCTATGTTAAGCCCCCTCTTAGGCGTCATGACCCCTTCAGTCTTATCCTACTATGAAACGGATTCCAAATTAGTCGATACATATATGTTTTTCGATCGTCTCGACAAGAAGAACACAATGGTGCAGTCCATTCTGCATTTTGAGGAAGTCACTAAACCCAACGTAGCTGAGTCGCAAACCCTGCTTAGCATGTTTTCCTAGAATATTCAAAATTAGCTTCCTTCGGTCAATTTTGAGTGTCAACATTAGGTTAGTTAATCTAGCCATGTAAGTCACCCCACACCACCAAACTTAGATCAACAATGGTGTCGATCCACAGCCGCCGCTGATAGCGCATGAACAAGATGACACCCAAAGAGGAGTTAACGTGCTAGCATCCATCGACAAACCAGGCGGCAGCCATAGCATGCAAGAGGCATCCACGGCTTTATATGGGCTTGTTGAACACACAAATAGGCTTAATTTTTGCTGCTTCCATATAGAAACTCATAAAAATTAAGCCAATTTTATGGGTCACGGATAAGACCACTTGCATCCCTAACCCCGCACCAAGCGGGCGAGAGGGAGAAAGGTTCAAGGCATCTAGGCCCTGGCGATGGTTGAATAGTAAATAATGGACTTCCCACTAACAAGTAAACCGTCTTAGTTGGGTTGGTGATCATATATATAGGAGTATTTCATATTTTTCTTGGTTTAGATCTTGAATCTCTGCCTCCACTATAACATATAGGCCAAGTGGCCCAGGTCTAGATCAATTACAGAAGACTTCATGGCAAAGCACGCTACTGCACTAACCCATTTGCTTCGCTAATATATCTCTTCTTGTTCAAGATGCTGAGTCAGATCGGTCCGCTCTAAGCGAATATTATTTGCCTGAGTATATTCGCAGTAAACATATCATCAGTACAATACTCAGGTATTATATATACAATATATATTACTCCCTCCGTTCTAAATTATAAGTCGTTTTAACTTTTTTTTTTTACATAGAATTTATTATTATCTAGACGTATGTTATATCTAGATGCATAGTAAAATAAATATACCAAACAAGTTAAAGTGACTTATAATGCGGAACGGAGAGAATACTATCAAGGAAGCTAGATTAAACAATTTTGTTTTCTCATCGTGGTCACTAATCAGCAAGGAAGCTAGACCCACCGAACTCGTGTGTGTATATATGTATATTCTGCAGTCAATGGTGGATTGGCAGGCCATGCACCTCTTATAAAGTATGGTTGGGGGAGAGAAGAGAGTACACATGGGGAGAGAGAAGAGCAGTAGCTGGGATGCGGTTGGGGGCAGTTGTGGGGTGGAAGTGAGATTGGGTGGACATGTTGTATTGGGGTTCTTAATTTTTTTTATAGATCAACCTTCCTGCCTCGGACTTTTAAGAGGTGGACTTGTCTTTATTAATCAACTAGATAGAAGATACCTTGCGCGTTATTGCAGGGATTATGAAGAATTCAGAATGAAATTAAGTAGAAATGACGTGGATAGCTTGCATTTAAGATGTTGATATTAATTAGGATGATATGGCTATTAATGAGGGATGATGTGGATAGCTAGTAAGGGGATGATGTGGCTTGCATGTTGAGATAGACTTGGTTGGGTGAGAGATGTGGTCATGCACCAAACCACCTAGGTTCAAGTCCTCTCTTGGACTAGATTTGGGTACCTATTTCTCTCATTTTGTTTTTACTTATAACATGATTAGCTTTATAAGAAATATAGATATAGATATAGATTTGCTAAGATAGGCTTTGTGCATTTGACTACCAGATGATTTATAGAGACAGTAGATCAAAGGTCCCTTTCTTCTCTCTGTAGATTAACTCCATTTGTCTCCTAAAATCGTTTTTTTAGCAGCGAAACGGCAACTCATATATAGTTGGGTTACATACGAGTATTTCATATTTGCTAGGTCTACAACTTAAGGGTGTGTTTGGCACATAGATTCAGTTCCGATTCTTTTGAGAATCAATAGAAACTGTGCCAAACAGCATACAGGTGAAACGTTTCTAGCATAAACGGTTCTAAGTGATTCTGATTCTGCAGCTAAATGGCTTAGTGATTCTAATTCGCTATCTGAAATATTTCTTGAGAAAATCTGGATCTAAAACGTTTCTACAAGAATCTAGATCCCTACCAAACGAACCCTAAATCTCTGCCTTCGCTATAATATTGGCCAGAGGTCTAGATCAATTACAGAAGGCACGCATCATGCCATGACACGCTACTGAACTATATAGCCCATTTGCATTGCTGGCTTTCGTTAATATAATAACTCTTCTTGTTGAAGATGCCGAGTCAGGTCCGCTCTCAGCGAATATTATACCTGAGTAAGTTGTATAACATATCATCAGTAAAACACTCAGGTATATTATATGTATACAAGATCCCTAGAATACTCCACGCATCTTTGACAGCTTACAAAAAGGTTTTATTAATCTCGTCGTGTGGTAAGCTACTAGGCCCACTGACCTCGCTCGTATATACATATCATATCATGTTGTATATAGTCAATGGTCGATCGATCAAAATTAAAGCTAGCACGCCAACGCAATGCCAGATCAAATCAAATAATGGCACTAAAATTTTCCCAAATGACGCTGTACTGTACCAGCGACGACGTTTTGGCCTTTTGCCCCGTCGTCGTCGCACGTTGTCCATCATCCAGTCGGCCCCCGTAGAAGCCGCATCGCTAGCTAGCTCTCCCTAGCTACCCATGGCGGTCAGCGCGAGCGCCATGGGCGCGCACGTCATCCGGACGCTGGACGACATGCTGCTCCGGGGTCTGCTGCGCAAGGCGGGCGCCGAGCTCCGGGGCGATGCCAAGAAGCTTCGGCGGGAGCTGGAACGGGAGCTGCTCTACTCGCAGGACGCCGAGAACCAGGTGCTCGAGGATGACCGCGCGCGGCGGTGGCTGGCGGAGCTGCGGCAGGTGCTGTACAGAGCGGACGACCGCCTCCTGCAGGCGTACGGGGCCGACGGCGCACAAGACCAGCGGGCGTCCATGTCTCGACCTCTACCGGTGAGTGAGCAACGACGACGACTTTTGCATGCGTGCGTGCGTGCGTGTGGCTTTCTTTCTTTCTTTCGGATTTAATTTGTCCGTTTGTGCTTTTCGTTGAGTTGGGTTAGTTGGGGACAAAGTTACAGCATCAGATACGCAGTCCCATCAGATGGTGTCTTCCTTGACATCCGTCTAACCTTTTTGGCTTCTGTCTCAGTGAATGACTCCATCAGCAAAAGGGTGCTACCATTTGTGAAGTAACATATCGTCGTCCTTCAATTTATCGCTATCAGGAAAAAGGGGATCGGGGATCGGATGTTAGGCTTTTAGACAAAGGAAAAATAGTTGACAGGCACCCCCGCGTCGTCTCCCCCGTGAGGCGACTCGGGGTGACTAGCCCCCCGCCGAAAGCCCTGGCCGCCGCCGCCGCTCTCCGACGAGTGGCGGCCGCGGCCGCGGCGGCGCTCCGTAAGGGGTGGTCGTCCACAGCTCTCATCTTCTTTCCTCGCTCCTCTCTCTCCACCCCTCCAGCTTCGAGCCAGTCGCCTTCTCTGTCGCCAGTGTGCTCGTTACCGGCCACTAGAGGCCAGATCCGGTCGTGCCTCTTCTCGATCTACTCTTCCCGGCGCCAAATCTGACCTCCCACGCCTTCCTGCGCCTTCGGAGGTGACATGGTGGTCGGTTTCCGGCCAGGCCAGTCCAGGGCGACAGGCGGCACAGGGATGGCTAGGCCGGGTGCTTGGTGGAGCCACGCGCACCTGAGGTACGTGTGGCTGGTCGGACGGCTGGTGGCCAGTCCTGGCAACAATCGGCTCGCACCCGTCCCCTGCCTATGTGCTCGTCTATGGCCGGGGCGGCAGCGGGCGTTTACCTCGCCCGCGGCCGGGAGTGGGCCAGGACGGACGCTCGGCCTCTTGGAGTCCGTGTGGCTAGCTGCCTGCGGCCGGGTGGCAACCGGCGTGCCTCTGCGGTGATCGAGGCCGGTCGGGAGAGGCAGCGACTGCCTGGGGGCGGCCTGCGCAGCTGCGGGCTAGGGTGGTAACCTATGTCCGCCCGGTGTTGCCTGCTTGCCTCGTCCCGCGGTGCTAGCGTCGTCGGCCACTTCTGAGTCGTTGCTGTTAGAAAGTTAGACAATTTCAGTACCAATTTAATCCGGAAAAAGATCAAAAACATGTTTGTGACATCAAACATGTGCACGTGTGATCTAGTTGCTAGCAAGATAACGAGCATCATACTAATCATGATTTTAACCATAGAAAAGTGAAAACGGGTTGCAATAGTTGCATACCCAGCGGCACCAGAGTCGGTTGCGCTAGTCGACATAGCGCATGTTGTTGTAGTCGTTCCACTCGGTGCAGTGCAGATGAGTTGTAGTGCCGATCACCACGCAAGTCGCCGCCACTGGGAAGTAGAGGAAGTTGTGGATCGATCGAGCAGTCGTATGGAAGACGTTTCCCAAAAATCTGATTGTCGGTCTTTACCTCAGCAAATGAACTCACGAACGGCGACGGTTTCGGAGGCCTACTGTCCCTATTCCTATGCGCGCAGGAATCGGGACGGGAATGACATAGCAGCAGCGTGGTGGTGTTCTTGGCTATGTTTTCTCCCTCGCGAACAAGACAAGCAGTCCCCTTTTTATGCATCAACATACGAAGATGAAGTGTCAGGCGCATGAAGAGATAGCCGTCATCATAGGGTGTCTGTTACTAGTAACTTATGAGACTAACAAATCAATTGTCCATTACCAGTAATGGAAGCCACTAAGACATCATGACCCACTAGCATATAATGGTCATCATGCACTTAACACTCGTTAAACCATCGATTACCGCATAAAGGACCCATGCATATCACACCTAACATTAACTATAGTCTTGGAATTATTCTTTGATTTAATTGTTGAATAAAAATGAGACAGGTCCAATTAAATCCAACAATTGCGCGGCACCAGGGTGGCTGCTCATTGCCTGCATCTTGGTTGTTGGGTGCTAGGCGAAAGCCTATTAGTCTAGCCGGCGATGGCGATGCCCTTTGGGCGCCGTTTTCCTCCTTGGAGGCATCTATCATTGCACCTTCCTTTCCTCCAGGCGTGGATCTTCTGAGTGAAAACCTGGTCCCTTCTGGACAGGCAGCGGCGGCATTGTCCACGTCGCAATCCTCCTTGGAGGCGTTGCCTCTGAAGTTCCATGACCATGGCGCACACGGGGGTTGTCTTCCTCCCTTCCCTGGTGCTGCACATGGTCGTCATTGCCGTTTGTGCTCCTGTCGCGTCATCCAGTTGGCGGTAGAATATTTTTGGTTGTGCCTGTGTGCGCTTCAAATCATTCAACGCCTGTGTTTGTCCTACAGTGTAGTCGCTTCTCCAAAGGATACTTTGCCGCCGGTGTGCTCCTTTTCGGGGGATGCTTTGTCGCCGGTGTTCCTGGTTATCGCTGAGCAGATACTTTGCCGCTGCAATTTGTTGGTCGCCTGCCGTGGTTGTTCGGCTTTCGTAGCGGATACTTTGACGCTAACGATATGCGTCTCTTTTGTGGCGGATACTTGGCCATCATGGTCTCCTCTCTGGCGGATACTTTGTCGCTGTTCTCGTACTTGCTTCCTCGACGGATGCTTTGCCGCCAAGGTTGCTTGGTCGCGGATACTTTGCCGCCACTGCTGTTCAAAGCTCGCCTTGTCGCCATCGTGGTTTCACTGCTCTGTAGGCTACCACTATGTTGATTGTCCTTCTGTCATAGGCTCAGTCTATTAGTGTTTTGAGGCTGAGGATCTTCCTCTCATGTTTTCTCTTGCTGCTCGTTTGTGTCTTTGGGACTGCGTGCTGTGTAAGCTTTTAAACTCTACTTCCTCCTCATAAAAAACATGCCACAGGGTACGGTCGCGAAAAGACAGAAAAATTTATTCAGGCCCTGAAAGAGTTTTACACTTAATCATCTATTGCAACAAAGTTATAGCCTCGGACCGAAGAAAAGAAACGCTCAAAGTGTACCAAATTTGAAGGGATCGATGGAAAATAGCGACAAATTAAATGCAAAATCGATTACAAGATAGCCATCCATTCTTAACGAAGATCCGCATTATTGGAGTCAGCGTAACTCGACAGGCTCACTTCAAATTGGGTTTGCCAGCCTCCTTTTCAAGGACGCACCACCAGAACCTTGGCCAGACAGGCCAGTAGCCGATAAGCAGTCCCATCATATGCAGTAGTAAAAGAAAAACCATTCATTATTACAAAGTTTTAAGCCTCTAGCCGAAGAGAAGAAACTCTCGAAGACCAAATTTGAAGAGATAGAAGGAAACTAACGACTTTTTTTTAGAAAAGGGAATATTGATTAATAACCCAGCCTCTGTATAGGAAACTAACGACTAACTAACTATAAACGCTAAGTCTAGTACAAGATAGCCACCAAATCTTGGCGAAGACCTCTATTTCCATAGTCTCCATCACTCGACATGTTCACTTCAAATTGGGTTTGTCGACCTTCTTTTAGGGACACACCACCACAACCTTGCCAAGTAGGTTGCCCAAAAATAACTTGTAAATAAGAGTATAATTTTTTATAAAAATATTTCATTTTTGGTCAACTGTATAGCCCAAAAGATGACACTTGATCCTACTTATTGTATTTTTTATTCAAAAGTTTCACTGTTTACTTTATTTACAAAATATTATATAGGTCCTTAGGATACCCTCTTAGTTCTTACAATATCAGAAAATAGTCATTTCAGTTTGCATCGTGGCACTCAACATTTTAAATTTATTATATCGTAGAATTATGTGTGTAGTAGTAGTATTTTATATACAATTAAATCGTGATACAACATAATATTTTAGTCAATGTATAAACTTATTTAAAATAACAATTTATGATGAGTATTAATATAACTTAAAATAAATTGCCAATGTTAATGTTACATGGTTTATTAAAGGAACATTCTTCACATTTGATAAGCTATTAGAATAAATATTTATCTTATTGTATACATGTTTACTTGATCTATATCCCCAAACATAGCATTATGCTTACTTTTAACTTATATAGAAGTATGTAATTTAGAAATATATAGCATACTTTATGAATATTGCATTATTTTTCATAATAGTTTATATTAGTATTTACATGTAAATTTGAGAGTTATTTATTTATTTATTGTAAACACTAGGTGGATAACTTATAATTTTTTTTATAGATATTACTTTATATTAACTTTCATGATGCTATATATGAGTAGTTTGAATTCAAACTTAGGGCCTGTTTTGCATTATCCTTCCTAATAGTAGTGATGGGTAATTTAGAAAAAAAATATTAGAGGGTTATTTTAAATCATCTTTTATAATGGCATAGGTCGATAATTTAGATACAAAGTTAGAAGGTTATTTTGCATTATCTTTCATAATAGCAGAGATGGTAATTTAGATGCAAATTTAGGTGGTTATTTTGAATTATATTTTATAATGACATATGTGGGTAATTTATATACGAATTTATGGGTTACTTTGAATTTTCTTTCATAATGATAGAGTTGGGTAATTTAGATGTAAAATTACTTTATATATTTTTTATAATGGTAGAGGTGGGTGATTTTTATAAAACTGAATAGACCAATTGTTATTATTGGCGATGGTAATTACAAATTAAAGGCTAGATGTCTGATTATTGTGAGAATTTATAGAATTTGTCTTTTTCTAACACATTCGGTGAGAATTAACATGGAGACTCTGTTAGAACCTCTAATTAGTAATCATAAGATAAGATTGTTATGTCAGATAAACTTGTGGTAATAGATTAATTTAGAAGACTTTATAGAGGAACGAAGTTAGTAGCAGCTACTAGAACCTCATTCCTCATTATGTATTCAAATTATTGCGTAAATCATCCATTTCACCATTTGATAGAGACCTAAAATCCATAATTATTTCTCTTCATATCAATTTATTTAGACCTCCCCCTCGCGTGTTATGTTCACACAATTCTACCTATATGTGATTGTTGACTACAATGATTCCTTTTCATTTTAATTAGTCTTAGTTTCACGAGACTTTGAACTATTATTTGCGCTATATATGGATTATATTGATATCATCAAGAAATACAATTTTCAAATAAATAATTTATTTACTCTGACTATGTGAGTAAACATTGCTGTCAGCTAACAACGGCTTCAATAAACAAACTTAAAACTTTCTCACTATGCAAATATTAACATTATGGTTAACAATTTGTTTAATTTTTTGTAGCGTTTCCATACTGACTATCCAATAGAGATCACGGATACCAAATTGGTTGAAAGATATTTGGTCATTCGAATGACTTTAAATAAAAAAAAAGTTTTCAACCCCACAGAAGGCTACAACTTTCATATAACTCTCCTTTGACCTATGGTCTATTCAGCACAGCTTCAACTCTAGTTCTTACAGTAGCTTTGGCAAAGGAGACGGAAGTCACACCAAACACCATAAGAGGAGAAACCTTTTTTTTAATACAAAAGAGTTGCAATTTATGGCTTCTTCCTTCGAGCTCGGCTCATTTGGTGCTTCAACTATTGCACAAGACTCAGTTTTGTCCCTAAATTTTTAAAATGGTCATTTCGGTTCTTAAATTTTTTTGGGCACCGTTTTATTCTCAAACTATCAAAGTGATTGATTTAGTTCTTAAACTTTATGTTTTAAACACAATTTCATCCATGAATTATCAAAGTCCCTTTTAGTCTTTGAACTTTTCTTTTTGGCTCAGCTTCGTCCCTTTTCCGATGTGGGACGATGTGTTGTCACGCCTCGTCGGCTCCAACACCACCTGTGATTTTAGATTGATAGTTATTGTTAGGTACCATTATCCCTGGCGTCCTAGCTACCTAATCGAATAGCACACTTTCATCATTTATATCCATATTTTAAAAAGAATATAAATGTATAGATATCTTGAATATGAGTTATGGTATAGCCCATAGAGAAAAAGTTTCATTTTTACCCACAATTGCTTATTAATTGAGCCTAATGCTAAAGTAGTTAAGGAAAAACGTTGTAAATTTGTTGTTGTTTTAATTTATCCATGTGTTCTTATAAGGTACTAAATAGCATTTGTAGCAGTTATAATTGCTCTCATGAAAACAATGTAATAAGATGTATTTAAATGGTACCATTACAAGGTAATATTAAAATAATAAATTAGAACTATTAATGGTCGCTAAAGAAATTTTGGGCAATATTATTTTCTCTCTCACGTCGTTGGTGGTGTTCAGATAGGACGAGGGGTGAAGTTAAGTGAAAAATAAAAGTTTAAGAACTGAATGCGCTTTGATAGTTTGCGATGAAATTGAGGCTCAAAAATATAAAGTATGAAGACGGAAACGGTTATTTTTGTAGTACTGGGATAAAACTGAACTCAAAAGTAAGTTTAAGGACCCAGCCATTTTGAAAATTTAGAATTAAAACTGAGTTTCGATGGATAGTTTAGAGACCAAAATAGCTATTCCAACTTTAGTGACCAAGCGCCGGTAGGGTCGGGGGCGGCCACGCGGCATGGTCGGGGTCGGGCCTCCGGCGGCGGGCGGCGCCTGGGCGAGGGCGGGGGTGGCAGGTGGAGACGGAGACACGGTGTTCTGGCGCGCCAGGAATGGGCGGCTGTGCGGGGGTCGCGCCGGCGGGTCGGTCGCGGCGGCGGACATGACGGGCGGGCCCGGGGCCGGCCGAGCGGTGGCCGCGGGTTGCGGGCTGACGCGTGGCCGCCGATCGGGGGTAGGGCCCGGCTGGGGTGGTGGCGTCGTGTCGGGGGCGGTCAGGAGACTCGGGCGGTCTGCTATGTTGGCATGGTGCTTTAGCCAAAAACCGACTGATATGCTGTGTCTGTTGTAGTGATCTAGTGTGAGCTGAAAACAAGTGTAAGGGCGTGAGGATCATACTAGCCCCATATGATATTGGCACAGTCCATGTTGTGAAGTTCATGTGGATGACCAGTAGGCAGTAGCCAAATGTCCTAGGTTGATTTGTCTTATTTGTTAGTTTCCTTATTACTGACACTCTCTCCATTTACAGATCATGCGCCATTTTACCACGGACAGGTATATCAAGCAAGAAATAAGGAACTTACTTAAGGATATATGCTCAGTATCTAAGAACCGTCCTCTCACGCTCACAAGCAGAAATATGGGAGATGATCAGCATGACAGATCATGTGATGGTCAGGAACTCATGCGCCATGACAATTTAGTGGAGCCAGAAAAAATTGAGATGAGGATATTGCCATTGGTTGACAAATTGACAGAACATCATGAACCATCTCGGCAGTTTATCATTTTTGCAATCTATGGGCTGGGAGGAGTAGGAAAAACAACTATTGCCAGAAAAATATTTGATGATCAGAGGACGCAAAGTGCTTTCAGCACACGCGTATGGGTGTCCATTTCTAAAGGATCCAATGTTGCTCAGATCTTACAGGCAACATGTGCTGCTCCATCTATAGGGGTCCTGGAAGTACCAAAAACAAAGAACAAACTCCAGATGCTGTTGGCTGACAAGATTGGGGATTGGGGAAGGAGAATCTTTCTGGTTTTTAACATACACGACGGTGTTCCCTCAAAACAAGGCATAGGTAATGCTGAAATATTTGGGAACCTAATTGAAGTCCTCAAGTTCTTTTTCATGCTGCTGCTGAAGGGAGCCGTGTTTTGATAACGACCAGTGATGAGAATGTTGGCAATGAGATAAAGTCAGCTCAAATCCAGAAAGGTGCCGAAGGATACGGTCTCCAAACGGACCGCATATGGCAGCTAACAGTGGAAGATAGTTGGATGTTACTACTTAGGGCAGCTTGTCTGGAGCAAGCAAAAATCACGCCTGAACTAAAGCAAATTGGTATAGGGATTCTGCAAAAATGCAATTGTCTTCCTCTTGCTATCGAGGCCGTTGGCGGTGTTCTTCGTCAAAAGGGCTACAGACAAAAGGAATGGGAGGGAATACGTGATAGCAGAGCATTTTCTCTCAAGGATCCTACCACGGGAACTGAAGGAGTTAGGAGCAGCATCTATCTGAGCTACCAGTATGCGCCACCACATCTAAAGCAATGCTTTCTTTATTTATCACTTTTCCCTGTAGATTTTGAGATTGAGCAACACTTGGTTACTCAGTTGTGGATTTCAGAGGGCCTTATTGATATTGGTACAAGACATGGCCACTCATTAGAAGAGACTGCTGATGAGCAGAGTAGTGTTTCCCAACAGGAATCCAACAAGCACAACAACAGTGAAGAGACAGCACAAGAGCCAGGATCGTCTGAAATTGTTATTGTTGATGATGAGAACAATGCTTCATCAGAACATGCTAGAGAGAACACTACTTCGTCGCAAGGGATAGTAGAGGGCCACAACCGTCAGCCACCTAAAGGGTCACCTTGTGTCAGCAGCAGTGGACATTCTTCAAAAACAAGTCTAGATAATAAGCAAAGCCATTGTTTGGTTCAAGAGATGGCTGACTCATACTTCAAAGAGCTTGCAGAGAGGGGTCTTGTTCAACGAGAAAACAAAACAAAACGATATAAGATGCACGAGCAAGTTAGGAAAATTGCAGACTCCTTAACTGAAAATGAGGTATGTGCTGGCGATCCCAAGTATGTGGCTACATTGCCAGCTAGCCTGTATCGTCTATCTTTTCTGAACAAAGGACTCACCACTATCCCTGAAGACGTTGGAAGGCTAAAGAGTCTGAAGACACTTCTCCTATCTGGCAATTCACTTGGTGAAACCGACATGGATACCATATGCAAGAACCTGGAATTATTGCGAGTTCTTGACCTCTCAGATACAGAGATCCAATCTGTTCCAAAAACGTTGGGAAATCTGGTGTACCTTAGGCACCTAAATCTTTCCCGTACAAGAATAAGAGCACTCCATGAGTCCATTGGCCGCCTCAGGAGACTGCGGTTCTTGGGTTTGCGGGAATGTGAACATCTCACTTCCCTTCCCAAAAGCATACAAAAGTTACTGAAGCTGGAATATCTCGATTTTAGAGACACTAGCATTACAAAGTCCACAAGGTTGCACAATCTGAGGCATCTTACACTTCTTCATGGCTTTGTAGTGGGCAGCATGTCTTCATATGGCTTACTTTTGGAAGATCTGCAGAACATGAGCGATTTAAGTGACCTGCAGATAGATATTAGAAAAATTGTATACAGAAACATTGAAAGGGATGGAATTGGAATGCTGAAGGAGAAAGGTAATCTCAGGAACCTGGAGATCAGATGCTGTACTGTTAACTCAGAAAATTTATCAGCTGGAGATCCAGATAGATTGAAAACAATGTTCACACAGCTTCATCCTCCTCAGTGTTTAGTGTCACTCAAAATTGATGGCTATCATGGAACTGTTTATCCAGAATGGTTATGTTTCTCTGAGCTTCCAAATCTACAACACCTTAGCCTGGAAAACTGCAAGTCCTGTGGAGGGTTACCACCAATTTGGCATCTTCAGAAGTTGAAGTTTCTCAGAATAGCCAATCTCTCCAAGCTGCAGACAATTGACATGCAACCAACAGCAGAAATGCCATCATTTCCTAATGTAGAGGAGTTGGAAATTGAGGACATGGAAGTTTTAGAATACTGGTCAGATTTTCAAGCTGGCGACCTGCCACACCTTCGAAAGTTGGCACTCAGAAGGTGTCCAAAGCTGAAGCGTCTTCCAGGTGGCTTGGAGCACTGCAAAATTATATCAACGATGGAGCTGATAGGTGCAGGACTAGTACGGGTCCTTGAGAAAATCCATGTGCAAGAGTTGATTGTGGAAGCAATGCCAAGTCTTACGGAAGTGTCAAATCTTCCACTAATGAAAGCATTTACAGTGATCAGCTGCCCAAACCTGGGAATTGTTTCAGGGGTGAACTCGCTGCAGCACATTCACATGGAAGATGAACAGCTAGAGCAGCTTCCGAAATGGCTGGGACAGCACTTTTCAAGGATAGAGACACTAGATATAAAAGGCAAAGAACAACTTCTTGCGAGGTGTGAACGCAATAAGGAAGACTGGTACATCGTTCGAGAGATTCCACGTGTTTATGCATATTTGCCTAAGAGATTGCCATATTTCTCGTATGCCCGGAGCAGTGATTTTTTTTGTAAATACAAGACACAGAGAACAGACGCGCGTAAGGATCATCTTCATTCACCAGAAGCTGGTGTACAGAGAACAGGTTTTACAGTCTCGTCCAGCTCCAGAGGAAGCGATGATTCACCATTGGGACCAGCAGCTCCAGTTGATGAGACCGGCAGGAAGTTCTTGTCACTGGGACCACCTCCAACTGATGAGACCTACAAGAAAATCTTGTCGGTGATGTCATTGTTTGTTGTTATCGTGCTTTGGATGATCATGAATCTCACTGACTCCCACCACAACCTGTTAGAAGACCTCTCTTTGTTTGGTTTCTACGTTTGTACGATGTTTTACTTCATTTTTTTGGTAATGAAACGGCGTCAGTAACCTGAATGTGCCACTGTAATATGCCGTCTTGTTTATACCATCATATACTTGGGCACAATACGTCCTGTGGACAGCTTTGATCTGTTTCTGATGGTTAGAGCTTGTGCAGTGATCATTTTGTGTAGTAGTTATTTTCCTTGATTTTTCTGGCTTTAGCCCTGAACTCTTTTGTAGGCTCTGGACTTTGCTAGTAGAAGATGATTTTTTTATTTACAATCCCTGATGCAATCAAAAGTTCCGACACCGTCACTGTGGTCACTTCTGTTGCAAAAGCAGTGTGTACTATCACTGTTACAGAAAACCCTGTACCCTCGGTTCCAAAGAGTTTTCACTGGCATTTTTAGTAGAAATCGCATTTCTCACCTGAAGGTGAAAACCATTTTGTACCATTGGCTCGTAGTGGCAAAGGATGATGGAGATCATATATGTACCGTCAGCCTCGAGCATCAACCGTAGCTATAAACGCTATTTGCATGGTCGGTTTTAAGCATCAATCAGTGGTCCAAATTCAATTCTTTTCAGTCGGTTGGATGAACCATCGACAGTAGTGAGAAGGCCAAGCACATCCTGTTTTAATTGAATTTTACATAAATTTGGTTCACTTTTAAATCAGAACTGGTTCAATTCACAGGCATCAAAGAAAGCACGATCATCACAAATTTCATCCAATTCACACATAAACACGTCAATATAAGTTCAATCTGAAACATCCAATTTACAAAATGTCAATATAAGTTCAATCTGAAACATCCAATTTACAAAAATCGTCCATACCTAAACATCAATTATAGAAATTCAACGCATGCAGCCTAAAGACTCCCAGAAATGGTGTGGCCTCCTAGATCTTACTAAGCATTAGTCTTGGAGCATTAGTTGATTTGACCCGATCCATCATGTGCTAATGACGGATTAATTATGCTTTGCCCATCGGATTATGTAATTTATTTTTGATTATTAGTATCCAAACACCCCATGCAACATTCTCCCAACAGACCTCCTAAATTTTAGTCACTGGATCCAAACACCCCCTAGTCTGTTTGCCCATCTTATTACTGATGAGACAGAGAAGTGTTCAAATTTGTCCGTTTAAAATGCAAGAATTTCTTAAAGATTTGCCAAATAAAATGCAAAAAAAAATGTAAAAAAAAATCGTGTAAGAAATTGCCTGTTTAAAATGGAAGAATTTGAAATCGTAAAAAGTTTTACAGAAATCATGTAAGAAATTGCCTGAAAACCGGTTAGCTCCAACTCAAAATGGAAGAATTTCTAGAGAACTTGGAAGAAATCGGTCTCGGTTAGTTCGGTTCGGTTTGGTTAGAACCGAAAATTTTACAGCAAGGGAAGAAAAGGGAAAAGATATTCTATACATGATCCATGTGGCGTGGCAACCGGACTGCCTCGACCTCACATAAATCACGCAGTGGGAAAACCGAGGGTCTAGCTCCAACACGCCTGCTCCTGAAATTTACCATCACGGTGGTGGAGGTGCCTCGGGTATGCTGTCTTCAGGATTCCGTGCCGTCATTGGAGGAGGTGCCGTGCCCAAAAGGACATGAATATCAGCGCCTGGAAATGCCCAGAACAAAACATCTGGCCACAATGAGACAATGGGAGCGTGTGAGAGAGAGTGAAGGAGTCAAGAAACCCTAAAAGGTCACGTATTTATCAATACGATATCTCAAAGGGGCATATAAGCGAGTTCTACATTTTGTTGCACGAGGCAAAGGCAAGTCCGAGAAAAACTCTAGGAACCAAATTTTCGGTTTCGTTACGGTTCCATATAATAAGCTCTCGCGTATTTTTGCCCTGAAATTTACCCACAATGCTGTCTTCAGGATTCCAAAAAGGACATGAATATCAGCGGCATGCCCAGAACAAAACATCTAGCCACAATGGAGCAAGCCAAGATATCTCAAAGGAGCATATAAGCGAGTACACTTGCAGCAAAGGCAAGTCCAAAACTCTTGGTTACAACCATATAATAAGCGCGTCTGCAAAATCGCTTACCTTTATCCAGAACTCTCGACAGAACCCACAAACATAGGAATATTAGATATGCTGCAGGCAGGATCCGAATTCAGATCCTTTTAGACTCTACTCAGACAACATAATTAATAATATTTACGCGGTGAGTTTGTGCGGTGTTGGGGGTGAGTCCAGATGCTGGAGGTGCAGGGTGGCTACGAGCCCCTGCCATGTTTCCCCAGGGCGAGCAGATGTCTTCAGTTCCACAATTTTCCTCTGCTTCTTGTAGTAATCTTCCAGCTGCTTGGTCTGCATTTTGAAATTCCATATTAGATATCATCATGATTTTCCACCTTCCGAGCTTTGAACAACAACAATGCAAAAGCCTCGATCCCTAGAATCATAAGTTGAAGAATTGTGGTTTTCTTTTTTTCTCTCTCTTTTTTTTGGTACAGAAAACAAGTTTAGTAAGGTCTGACAAAAGAATCAGTAGCCTGGTCAGTAAGGGGCTAAGGGCATAATGTTCTAGGCATCCTTTGGCATAAAGCAAGGCCAAGACAAAATGCTAACCATTACCTGCTTAGCATAAGTGTGCATCCTCTCCATCCTTGAGGCTTCAAGGCCTACAACACCAGCAGGTTCTACCTGAGAATGCCATGTATAACTCCCGAGGCTGGGGCTACAGTTCGTAGATGCTGAATTGCTGACATCAAAGAGCTGTCCACAGTGGGAGCAGATGTCGCCCCTCGATCGCTTCTTCATGAAACAGTCATCAGCACACTTGAAATTCAGAACCAAATCAACATCCACAATCTCATCAAGAATCTCCTGAAACATGTGAAGTGATGAACAGATCAGATATGAGTCCAGTCACACCATTCTGGAAGTAATTTGGTGTCCCGTCCTCTCAGCTAGTTACATGGTACCAGGATGTAACTAAATCACATATTGTCTGAGCATAAAAGTACAAGGTACTCACAGCTTGCATACGGGTGCGTGGAATGCCATCAAGAATGAACCCAGTTTAAAAGTACAAGGTACTCACAGCTTGCATACAGGTGCGTGGAATGCCATCAAGAATGAACCCAGTTTCACCCTTGTTGTATCCGTCCTCAAGCCGCTTCGTCAGCAATCCAAATATGAAGTCCTCTGGAACAAGCCTCCCTTCATTTACCGAGTTTGCAATCTGTGTATAGGCGAAAAACAGAAGTAACTCAGCCCACTTCGACACACCCTTAAAGATCCCCTTTGACATTTTTAGTGTATTCAGGAAATATTATCTAAATATATGCTCGTTTCTGGAATGATGATTGTAATTTCCAGGTGCCCCCGAATTAGACTGTTCCGAGTAATTTGTGCAAACAGTTGAACGAAATGTGCGGATAGACTGCAGGAAACAGATATATGCAGGGTACAACATGAGGACCAGATGCGAAGGCTGCATATGCTGTCTGCAGCCGCCACAAGACGGCAGGATGGAATTTTCCAAAGTTCCAATGTGAAGCCCTAACCATGCCAAATCCCAAAACTGCCCCCAACATTGTGTGGACACAGACAAATTACGGGGCCGCCCCCGCAGCCGTCCACGAATGCGGACAAGCACGCGGGGATAGACATGGCCAGCACGCTCCTCTCCTGGCACTAAGAGATTCAATCATCGAATATAAACCCAGAGAAAAAGAAAGCGAGTTGTGGCCTTTATACAAAGAGTGGGAAATTGCGGCCAACGCTAAGAAAATGATTTATTTTGCAAAATACTTCGTGGGGGAAATAAGCGAATATATATTCAGTAATTTGGCTGGTTCCCAAGAAAAAGCTTGTGGCTTTACAGGAGCTCAGGCAAATATCTTCGAGATCAAAAGAGTGCACAGCTGCGTTACGATAAATTTCCCAGTCTCATGGCAATTGATGTGCGAAATGGCTTCCACAAGAAGCACAAACAGTCAGCTCCGCGACAAATCAGGCAAAATAGCCCGAAGAAAAGGATCCTCCTCCTGCTAAAAGCGCGGCTTGTTTGGGACACTAAAAATCAATTAAACTACTCGATCGAACTACGACGAGCAGGAGGACCCTCGGGGGCGGGGAATCGCGAGCAATCGCAGCACTGGGCAACCGAACCGGACCCACCTTCCTGTAGAGGTGCGAGGCGGGGCTGAGCTCCTGCCTGACGAGCGTGCCCATGGAGATGTAGGGCGTGCTTCTGCGGGCCCGGGCGGCCCATGACGACCCACTGCACGCCCCCGGGGCCCCCGCCGGCGGGGTCGAGGCCGGGGGCCGGCGCCGAGGCGCGCGCGCGGCGGGCCGCCTCCTCGTCGTCGTCCTCCCAGTCGGACCAGCACTCCTCCATCGCGGCCGCCGCGAGCCTCCGGTGTGGGGCGAGAGCGCGCCGGGTGAGGGACGATCTGGCCGCGGCGCCCGCAGCGAGCCGCAGGAGGCCGGCCATTTCTGGCGGCGGCGGCGGCGGCTAGGGTTTGCGGGGCGTAGGGTTTTTGGGGCCGAGCGGGCGGAAGGGCGCGAGGTGGTGGGGGCGGAGGCCGTGCGGTGCGGGGGTGGAAATTTTTATTTGGAGGTGCGGGAAAGGCGTGTGGCCGGCGGATACGAGAGGACGAGAGGAATAAAGAAAGGCCTCTCGGGATCCGCGATCTCGAGGCGTGCCGGGCCGGGCCGGAGGACCGCACGGCACCGATACGTGTGCTTTGAGATCCACGCTACCAGGGCTGCAAAATTGGTGGTACTCGTGCGGGATTTGGACGGGTTTCGTGCGAATTTTAAACCTGTGTCATGCGTCTCAAATGTTACCAACTCGCTTTTTGCGAGGAAGTGGGTTTAGGTATCACCTATCCCTATCCCTGCATGTTACCCATGGATAATCTCACCGGTCAACTGTTTGGCTGTTTTAGCCGCTAGCTAGCATGAACTAAAATTCAAGAGATGCTCACTCGCTATTTATTTTGTTCATTCACTAAATTATCTTTAAGGAGTTTTTAGAGATGCTCTCACTCACTTATATGCAGGTTTATTAGACTAGAGATGATGTTATAACAGTGTGAGAGCGCATGAGTAGTACTATTTAGTATTTACTTTGGCGGTTCTACTATATTTCAAGTACACGATTTTGTATTGTTGTTCAGATGACATGTAGTTTTATTATCCTTTTAATTATATTTTGTTGTCTGAGAATTTAGAGTCCTGAAATACAGTCACTCTCTTGCTTTGGACATAGAAAGATCTGTCATCTCACGGAGGAATATTTTAGGTCTCGGCGACGTCGGCCGGACATTCCAACGGTGTCCCCACAACTTGGGCCATGTGTAGGTCGGCTGTGAGGACGGAGTCTGCAACCACAATGGGCTGGCCCGGTGGGAGGTGGCTGAGCGGCCCTGGCGAGCGGGCTGGCGCATCATCGCTGCATGACGATGGGCCGGGAAAGCGTCGCCGTCTGTGTGGCCCGTCATCAAACAATAAAGCGCAATCTGCTCGTCTATTTCATTGACGGATTATTCACCATCAGCTAGCCCTCGCCCGTCGCCATCGCCAGTGCAAGCTTGCTTACTTGCTTGCCATCCCCCCCCCCCCCTCTCTCTCTCTACACACACACACACATGTACACTCCATCACACACATGATTGTTCAGCTTGCTTTAACTACTTTTCGTCCCAAATGCAAATTGCAAGAGGTCGTCGTCGTCGTCCCGATCGGAAGACAGAGAGGTACGGTACGGTACGGTACGGGCGACGAACCAATGCAACCATATACACCATGGATGCATGGAGATTGGAGAGGAGAACTAGAGCTCATCTATCATCCAGGAATGAAGAAGAATACATGCATGCAATTAACCAAACGGCCGGCTAGCTAGCCGGCCGGCACAATCGTTGGATGACGATGGAGGTCGACCCAGCAGTTCCGGCGGCGCTGCCGAGCATTTACAGTAGTGGTAGGTGGCCAGGTAACAAACTAGCCGAGGGTGCGGACGAGGGTGGCGAAGTCGCGCTCGGAGCAGCAGGGGATGGCGAGGCCGCCGGGGTGGCAGTGGTGGTCCAGGCCGAAGTAGTCCTCCTCCGCGCTCTCCAGCAGCGCCACGAACGACGGCTGTTTCAGGTACGCCGTCGGCACCACGAACCGCGCCCGCGCCTCGCCCACGTACACCGCGAAGTGGCCCCGCGGCACGCCGCCGCTCTTCGAATTCGCCGGGTGGTGGTGGTGGAGGTGGAGGAGGCGAGCCACCAGCTGCTGCAACTTCTTGCCGCCGCCGCCCATCTTCCTTAGCTTCGACTCTTACAGGTTGCCGTACGTTACAGCGCCAAGCTAGCACGTGTGCGTGTGATGTTGCTGGCTTATTATTGCTGCTCTCTGCGACGACCCAGCAATGGTGGCGCGCGCGTGCGCTTTTATATACTGCATGCGTGCTCTTGATCGATGGATCGATGGTTGTTTATTTCCGATGGATCGGATGAGCGCGTTGTAAAAGCCTGAAAGGGAGAGGCGGCCAGGCCAGCAGGGAGAGAGGGATGGACATGCATGCTCACATGACGCTCCTATATGATGCGTTGCTTTCCCAGGTTAGGTCAGGATAAGCCTAGATTTGCATGAATGCCGCCTGCTTTGTTGCGTTGCTACCAGTGAAACTTAGCTTCATACATCCCATCGGACGCCCCTGGCCCTGAGTTCCGACTTGAGTTGAGATAAGGATAACAGTATAATGCATGTTGAATGCTGCTATATACTAGTATTTCTTAGTGTAAGAGCTGACGAGAACACACTGGTTTGATTTGGAGTGAAACCTGTTCGTACAAAACCCACAATTCAAGGCGTAGTTTATTGTTCAAGTTGTGGATCACTACTACAAAAATAATTTCACAAGGCATTGCCGAAACATTAACGTAGGCGGTCACAAAATCCAACCGTCTCGCAAAATGCCTCAGATTTTCAGTGGCGGACGTTTTCATTTACGGAGGCGGTCACAATTAATCGTCTCGCAAAATGCATTTACGGAGGCGGGCATTTTATTTACGGAGACGGTCAGGATTGCCCGTCTCGTAAAATCGATTTACGGAGGCGATCTTCTAAAATCAATTTACGGAGGTGGGCCTCTTAAACGGACCGACTCAAAAAATAGAGGCTATTTTCGGACGTGGACACCTTATGAGGCATGTCTGTGTAAATATGACCGAGGCCCAGGCAAAAGCCCATATCAACCCATCTACTGGGCTTATATAAAAACGGGGACTTAGGGTTTCGGCCACATAATCTCACAACACACTAGGTGGTGCACGCACGGGGGCCCTGAAAGTGCATCTAGTCCTTTAGTGGGTTTTGGATGATTGAATGACAACGTGATTAAAGGTCTAACCCGTTTGCTAAGTGTGGACATGTTATAGGTTATCTCATGAGTACTTAATGAAAGCCAAAATGATGTGTTGTTGTATAAACAATCTAGTTCAAGCACAAGACAACAATGCAAATGTTATTCATGCAAATGCTCATTTATTGTGGGATTTCCATTTGCTATGTGAAAGCAAGCTCATGAGAATTAATTAATGAGACATGAGAAATTGCATATGGAATGGTCTCATACTTGAAGCTTGCTAAATTGAAATGAAAAAGATAACAATACAAATGAATGGATGATTAAACACAAGAAGTGACTTGATGGCTTGAGATGGTGAAGATAGCAAGGAAAGGCTTCGAGGTACTAAGCAAGGGTGAAGGGCAAGCGACGGCTTGGCGGCCGAAGAACCTAGCTAGGGTGAAGAAGAAAGTACTTGCATTTAGTTGAGGTACTAATCAAGCTATTATGGCCATGTTCATGTGGAGGATCAAATCATTATTGGATTGTTTGATGGAAGTGACTTGATACATTTGGGATTATTCAAATTTGATGAATGGAATCAAGTCACGTGCTCAAGATGGCTATGCTCAAGTGAAAAGATCAATATCAACATGTTAGCACCCTTACTTGATGAAGATTGAAAGAGACGGCATCAATTCAAAAGAGATCAACTCAAGTGGTATAAATCTATTTTTTCTTTGATCTTGAGTTTAATAGGTATGCCGTACTATTAAGAGGGATGCATCATGTTGATAGATAATGTTTCATAAGTGCTCAAGCCAACCCATGTGAGATTTGAGTGTTTGATAGACAAAAAGGCTAACTAACTTGTTCTGTGGTGCGGTCCCATAGGGCGTGTCAGGTATTTGCCCGATAGAATGTAAAAGTGTTGTTCTCGGGTTGGTTCGTCGGGAGTCCGACGTATGTGTCGGGAGTTCCACGGTCGGGAAGTTCCAACAATGGTCGGGAGTTCCGACGATCGCATAATTTAAATAATTTGGAGAGTTCTTGGTGGTCATGGTGGACGGTCCGGGGCGATGTCAATGGATGACAAAGGCCAACAAGTGTTTTAAATGTCTTGAGTGTCGGGAGTTCCGACGTAAGGAAGTTCGACGATCGGGAGTTCCGACATGTATCGGGAGTTCCGACACCTCAAATATTCTAACTCGGTTGCAAAGGTTTTCAAATATCGAGTTTGAGGTCGGGAGTTCCGACGGCACGGAAGTCGAGGAGTTCATCGGAGTTCGGTCTACAAATTCGACAGAATTTAGGGAGTTGGACGCCTCACAAATTGGTGTAACTTGATTCCCGTTGGCGTAGTGTAAGTTGCGGACGTGCGTATTAAACTATAAAGCGGCTAGTTTTTCAAGGGGGCTATAAATACCCCAAGCCTCCACCTTTGGAGGCTGGCTGATTTTGAGCCGAGATAGAGACACGCGTTTTTTAGCCTTGCCAACTCTCCCAACCTCTCTTAGTGAGTGTGTGATCCAAATTGCAAAATCAATTTGTGGGTTAAGAGAGAATTTGAAAAGAGAGCAAGCCACTACTTGAGCACTTGTGCATATTGTCAATCTTGTGATTCGCATTTGTTACTCTTGGACTCTTGGTCCTAGACGGCGGGGCGGAGAGCAAACCGAGAGATTGTGGTTGTTGCCGGAAAGTTTGTAGCAGTCGATTCTGCCGCCTCGGAATCATTTAGTGGAAGGACGAAAAGGAGTTGGAAAAGACTCCGGCTAGAGTGACCTTCGTGGTACCCTCTAGGGCTGACCTTCGCTGGGTCGCCCGCAGCCCCCTCAACGGAGAGTAGGACTCGAACGAGTCCGAACTTCGGTAAAACAAATATCGTGTC